TCTGTCGAAGCATTATCTCTCCAAGTCAGCACGAATTTTATAACTCCCGCTCCACAGTTGGTACAGTTTACGGAGTACGCAGCAAGGGTGCTTGGCAGTCAAGGACAAGTAGATGTTGTTTATACCGATTTTAGTAAACAATTCGACAAAGTCAGTCGTGCTGGTTTGCTTCAGAAACTTAAGCGTTTTAGATTTGCCGTGATGTTTCTCAGAAACTACTTAAGTGACAGGACACAGTACATATCTTACAATGGGTATACATCTAATAGATATTTCACAACATCAGGGGTGCCACGGGGTTCTAACTTAGGACCATTACTATTTCTAACTTTTAATAATGACGTTGTTTCAAATCTCAATGATACGCAGAACCTGTTATTTGCGGATGACTTAAAAATTTTTACTACCATTTCCAGTATTGCTGATTGTGTGGCGTTGCAGAGATCAGTAAACATACTCTTTGACTGGTGTATTGAGTCTCAACGTAGATAAATGTAAAGTTCTAAGCTTCACTCGTAAGGAAGAAACCATCGATTTTCAATATAGAATCTCAAATATTGTTCTCCGACGTGTTATAGATACTAAAGATCTGCGCGTGCATTTCGATCAAAGTCTTTATATTCGTGAACCACATAACAAGCATTGTATCTGAGGCTAACCGTAACTGCATTTCTTTTTCCGACATTCCTGCTTCGAAGGCTCTGTATTTTAGCTATGTTCGATCTAAGCTTGAATATGCCTCGGTTGTGTGGAATCAGATTTACTCTTGTCATAGTTTCACATTTCACTCTGTTCGGGCAAGCACGAAAGTATTAAAAAATCCTCCTATAAATATAGCATGTTCCAATTGTAATTGTGTTTCGGACGTGTGTGACATATTTAACTGTGGACTGAGGGAATTGAGAAATATATGTTTGATGTCTAGTCGCCGCTAGGTTAAGTTACATAGAAGTAGAAAAGTCAGCTGTATGAACTGAGAACGGAATAGGTAACAGAATACTCCCCTGGGGAAGACCTCTCTCCAAAGCAATGCCATCTGAATGAGTATTTCCTATAACTACCCTTTGGTATCTCTGACCAAGAAAATTTTCAAAAAAATATGCAAGTTGCTAATGGTACATAGCCCCCAAATTTGTAACAAAAGCCGTTTAGTATAAATTGGCACATAGGCTCTTAATGATATTTAACTCTCCATTTGGCTATTGATAACGTCTATAACGTCTTGTCTATGGAGTGTTAACAAAAGCCGTGCCCGATGATATCTTGCAAATATCATATTTGTACTTAAACAAGTAAAAAAATATATTTTTTGTACTTAATTCTACTTTACTCTAGCATATCGTTATAGATAACCAAAGTTATCAGTCTCCTCACTAATCATATGAGGCAGAGAGAAAGAGAGAGAGAGCCAACACCGTCAATTTAATTCAACCAGACCACGTCCAAATCAGCACAGATCTTAATTAGGGAACGCGGCGCGCATCACACGCAACAGCTGTCCGTTTATGGGGGGGAGATCGCTTCCCCCTCCCCCCCCAAACCCAATCCCCAGAGTGCTCCCAGCCTCACGATTGCATTTAGGCTCGTCACCCGCATACATACGATTTTGTGATGTTACATCTTTATAGCAAATTATGTCAGCTACAAACATATAAGGACAAAATGGAAACTGTAGAACGACTGGGAAAGAGTTCTTTGGTCAGATGAGACCAGATTTTGTCTCTACAACTCTACTGACTTGGTTGTTATTAATAATAGCAATGGCAGAGCATCTGATATCATCTGGCATTTATATTGGTGAGAATTTTTTGTTTCGACGCATGTTTGGTCAGATTGTGCAAAATTATCTTAATGATATTGGAATAATTTGGACCAAAATTTACTAAATTCATAAGAATGGTGACAGAAGCAATGCTGGGAACTATACAGTCTGTCATTCCAAACTTTTTGATAAGCCATTCTTTCAATATCTTTTACGGCATTCTAGAAATAAGAAGTCTAAACCAGTAGACAGTGTCTATACGGACTTTTTCAAAGGCATTTGACAGATTATGTTTCCAGAGAAATTGTGGTGCACTCAGGTGTCCCTTAGGGTTCGCACATAGGTTTGGTTCTGTATACTGAATATCTTGCTTTTGCAAATGATTTTAGATTTTATAAAACAATTTAATCATTTGAAAGAAAAATCGTCGCTGGGAGGGGCAAGTTCGTAGCAGAATCGATGTAATTTAATTGCGCCTACACCCTGTATAAAATGTCCTTCACATCTCGTCGAACTTCAAAGTTAGAGCAAACATTGGTAAATATTAAAATATGGACAAATAATAGCATTTTTTCAAATATCTCGCGCCCTGTATAATTGACGAAACCTGAGACGCTCTATCGACACAGTTTACGATACTGTGCAAATAAAATTATCCCATCTGTAACGGTTTTTCATTTATCGCCAATAATTAACCCACAAAAACGGAAATTTTTAGGACCTTTTAGAGTTTTTGCTCATAAACGACACACCCTGTATATGATTCAAACAATGTTCGATCTTCCACCTTTCCTGGTTCAAGAATTTTTTGAAAATAGCAAATGGTTTTCGAGAAAGTTTTTTCTAAGACCATGCAGTGCTCCGTAATAATCAATGACGTCATCGCGCCTTGACAGTGCCCGAAATAACGATTTCCATATGATTTTTTTCAAATATCCGTATTTGAAAAAAATACGCCATATTTTTTACGATTTTTGATTTGCGGTTAATAATTTACTCTGGAAAAGAATAATTTCCTAGGTCTGTTATATTTTTGCCTATAATTTGAGAACCCTGTATATAATCGAAAAAATGCTTGAAATAATTGTTATTGTACTGCAACTTCCGCGTCTGCTGGTTAAAGAATTAACGATTATGGAGGAATCATTTTTTTTTGAAGCTAAAATTACCAAAAAGAAAATTTCACTTTTTTTTTTAAAATACTTGATAAAATTTGATTGCATCCGATTTCTACCGTTTAACGTTGATATCTGCAAATTTAGGACACTTAACACATTTCTCATTTAGCACGGAATATTGGGAACACCCTGTGCAATAGGTGAAAAAATATTAAAGAAAGTGAATCATAGTCTTTCGGTTATAACCAAACTTCAATAATAGGGGGATCCATTTTTCAGTTTTTTGAATTTGCGGCGCACCCTGTATATTTTTGAAAAATTATCAAAATTAAAAGTTTATCTTCTGCGTCTTCTGGTTCAAGAATTTTTTTGGTCTCGTAAACAGTTTTTGAAAAATGAAGTTTTTTGTAGGCCCTTGCACACGCAATTCGTTATTTTTTTAGAATACTTCCCGACCCCCAAGCCCCCGCCCCCCATTTTCAATAGGTTCCGTCAAGGAGCAAGGCTGTAAATTAGAAGGCGATTGCTTCAAATTTCGGACATTTATCGCGTTTCATATCAAGGTCCAAAAAACAGTTGAAAATCGCGAAAAAAAGATGGATACCGCCGTCGGATTAGGGCTTATGTGCCTCATGGAGGGTTAAAAAAGAGGCAAATTTCAATTTTGTAGCTCCAACGGTTCGAAAGTTATTTAGGAAAAACGTCCGTCGCTTCCTTAATTTAAAAAAAAATGGCGGTGCCTCCAAGATCTAATCGCCGCTAATGGGACAAGAAAATTATATTTTTCGTCCTCCTCCCTTCATAACATTAAATTACGGGCGTCGAGTCTCCGGGAACCATTGGAAAAATTAAATCCGACCGGTCCTCCGCCGACGATCAACAACTTCCGGTTTTTCGCTTTCGAACGAACAAAGTTGGCTGCGGAAAGAGAAAGAGAGTGTGCGAATAAAGCCGTCAATCTCGCTTCAGAGCGGAAATATGCCGACGTTCGTTTTCCGAACAAAACCTATCGGAAATTCATTTCGATTTACATCGCGAAGGTCAGGTGGCGTTTCGGATTAGTCAGTGGCGTCGGCACGCCAAAATTAATTTTTTAATCTCGGGAAACGTTAAAAATGAGCCTCGCGGTAAACTGTTTCAGTGAAGCTCTGAAGAAGCCAACAGGACGATTGGCGAAACGTCAGCATTTTCGACTAAGCAAAAACCGACGCAGGAGGAATCCGGAAGTTTTGTAAAAAGCATTACAGTAGGCTGTGGAAGTTTCTTTGAAAAAAAAAATTAGCAAACGTCTTAAGCGAAAAACACTTAAGAACAATCTATTATGCTCTTGTAAAGTCTAGACTCCAGTATGGCATTTTGGACATTCATCTTAGGAGGGTTGAAATTTTGCAGAGGTACTTTTTAAAAATACTGCTTAAGAAGGATAGAATGTACCCAAGTCGTTTGCTGTATAGCGAGGTAAACATTTTTGATGTCAGACCCTTATAATTTTTACAAATAATATTATACACTTTCAAAAACAAATATAGTTTAAAATTTACAAGTCACATATATAACAAACGTAAAACACAAAAAAACTTTATTTTCCTATCGCAAAAATTATTCAACCGTCAGCCCAAAAGCAACTTCTAATTACTACTGATCGGATACACATCTTTAAAATAAAAGTGTTAAAAAATCATTACACAAGTGAACAGAAAAGAAACACGAGAATTGATTTGACTGTTCCATTCTTTCAATCAAAGACTTTGTTAAGTATATATCTGTGTCTTATATTGTGTATATAGAGGAGAGGATTTCTATTGGCATCGATTAGTGTATTTTGGCTGGGTATAAGATAATAAAAAAGTTACCGAGTTTTAGAGTGGATAGTATTTACTAATGTTGATGATTATTTTCTGTTTATTGGTGTTTATTTTAGTCTAGAGGTCCCACATTTTGTGCATTTTAGTGGAACTAGGGTGATTGTTTCTTTGCGGACAACCACCACTTAAATACTAAAAATATTGTTTTTAATATATACTTTTGCAAATAAATAATAATAATAATAATAATAATAATAATAATAATAATAATAATAATAATAATAATAATAATAGTAATAATAAAGGTATTCTTACCGATCATTGCTCATTTAACAAAAGCTGATCCAGATTGGGGGCGCAGGGTGATCGAATGCGAAGGCCAAATAGTAGAAGACTTTCTCACCGAATGCCCTAACCTCTCGTTTATGCCTGTCGGTAATCAAGCAGACTCTTGTAGCTCTCATCGCCTATCTGAAGTCACCAGCGCAATGGACTTGCTGAGGACCAAGAGCTTCAGTTACATATGCAGATAATAATAAAATTACTGGAATTTTAATACAATTGAATAAAGTAATTGCCTCACAAAACATATTTCACTTTCAAGATTCTCCATGCAAATGGCGAATAATAAAAACTACTCAAAAATTATGACCCCTTGAACCTATATTCCCATAAATGACAAGCGTGCGTGATATATCGTTATTCCTTCGTATTTCTTGCCCCTAGAAACGCGAAACTTCTATGAAACTATCGCTCGCTCTCTCGGATTCGGTTTTCGCCTCAAAACTAATTGGAATCCCTCAAAGTAAAAATCGGAAACTTGGAGGATGAATAATCGAACAAGTTCGCGTGGAACTCGGATTGCCTCGCGGGATTAACTTCGTTAGCGCTGTTCGAAAAGGAAATAATGGGTCCGGAATGAAGTTTCCGTTTACGACCGGGGGTGGGGGCGGTGGTTTTTATTGTTCTGCGGCGTAACACGTGGCCGCTACGCGCGGCGGAAACGCCGAAACTGTAATTAACGCTATTAATTAATTAATTTATACTGTGTAATAAATTAAACTCGACACTGAGTTTTCGTGAAATCTTAGAAGTAGATAAGCCAGGCCGTCTCTGCGATTCACGTAACCTCAAACCGTTTTCAACTTCTCGAAGGTTGGGTTTAAAGGGTATTTTCATTTGTGAGATCGTTTCTTCTGAAAAATAACTTTTTTCTATTATTTCTCTTTCTTTATTACAAAGCATAGCCATGGTGGTAGAATGTCTTAGGACTACCTGCATACCTTAAGGAGGGCCCACATTCATTTTTAGAAATACCAAGAGATTGTCGAACTTCTATTGTCTTAATTTTTTGTTTACAAAAGATTTTTATTTACTAACCGTTATTAAAGGCAAATCAGTCTTAATTATAATGCTACGAGGCATTATACCAGATTGATATGACCTTTGAATTTCGCCCCTTATTGTGCCTCTTTTGCTTTCTCCAATATTGACTCTCCACATTTACAGGCTAATGGGTAAATACATTCTTGAGTCCATGTTTCTGGTTTTGTTCTTGCAAGTAAATTCCCTAATGTCGTCCCGGGGCTGAATACACTTTTGTTTTGCTATTCGACTGATCTTTGCTGAGATTCCCTTCATATATGGCATCGTCAAGAGAGAGATAGAAAGAATGTACCGCATATCGTTGTGTTGTTGCTTTCCGTTTACAATTGGATAACAGTAGAATAACTGGTTCCTACTTTGAGCAGTTGATAGACTGAATGGTTTGTGGCGGATGGATATTCTTACCTATATTATTGAATGTTTTCAAACTGCTGATATCACTAATCGTGCCAAAAGTATTATGACGCAATAATAGAATGGCATTTGCGATCCACACATCATTTTTTTTTGCTTCACTTTAAATAACAACCAATTGTTTCATATTTCAATAGCAGCGTTGCCCAATATTTTTACCGACTATAAATGGATAACATCAACCAAGTTATACAGCAGTTTATGTGTATATATCGAAAATACAAGAGTCTCGTAATCGAAAGAACTGTACAAAATATCTCGAAAACCATACCAAGTCATTGAAAACAAGGTTGGCTAATTGGTTGATCTTAAGTCACCTTAATGTTTTTGATATTGTATATGGCCCATGTTTAAATTTGCGTTTAAAAATTCGAGCGAAATTAGATCACACAATCTGGCAGGTCAATGAACATTTCCTTCTCGGCACTTGAGAGTTTTCAGTTCCCCAAATTCTACAATTTTGCTCATGCACGTAACCTCGAATGAGGAAGGTAATTGTATTCCAAAGTACTGTACTATTTCGAATTTCTTCTAAGAGAAAATTAGCTCACGATCCAAGGACTTGGGGTTAATTGAATTTGGTAAGCTTGCAAGGTAAAAATCTGTTGCAAAGTGCTTTTCGTTATGTTTACCGGTGACAACTTGAAATTTGCGAATAAGGTTTCGATTTGCCATTTCACTTGGCAAAATATTACGAAAATTTTTAAAATCGATCTGGTGCAAAAATAAACAGATTATTTCACCCCCGGCGATAAAGTTGTGGATTAAAATTCGATATCGTTTAACTGGGAAGCCATTATTTCGGCCCCCGAAACCCACGCGAAAATCCGCCGATTCCGGTCACATCTTAAACTTTTCAAAACTCGGCTTATTATTTTTCCAAAAGCGGACGAAAAACGACGACAATACAACAAAACTTTGCAAACGTAATCGGCACGTGTAAGTTTAAGGGCGCGGTTTGGGAATGGGGGTGGGAAACTGCGCCCGAAACGTCCCATAATTTTTTATGAGAAAATTGAGTCGCACTTTACCAGACTCGTCGGGGGACGCTGTAATGGATCTAGAGTTTTCAAAATATATAAAAATATATTTTGTTTTGTTTTTTACATCGAAGTTTGCAGCTTACGCGGCAACAATATGGCGGATTCTTCCATCTCATCGTCGTTATCCTAATTTAGTTGACATTTCAAACCGTCCTCTTAAATTCTCGACCCAGAATTTTCTTCCTCCCTAGACTGATACGAATTAAGGAAAGACCCGGGCAAGCTGTAAGAATGAAATATGGCCGAACGGGTCCGTACTTTGCATAAAATGTAATTATTTGGGGTTTTGTTAGGAAAGATACTAAACAATATTTATTTATTTATGTATTTATTTATGTTTAAATATAGAATAAAATTATAAATTATTTTTATTACCTACTTGAATTACTTAAAATTAGTCACTTAATATATCAGTATCACTATCGCTATCATCGCCTGTTGGAGTGCCTCAGGGCTCAATACTTGGACCACTATTGTTCATCTTATATATAAATGATTTGTTCGTTTTGCAAGATACCTTAATAGCATATGCTGATGATACTGCAGTACCAATGAAAGCAAAATCATGGCCCGAACTTTCAACATCACTCTGGATATTATATACTCCTGGCTCTATCAAAATAAACTGGTACTCAACACAGACAAGTCCGTTTTTGTCTCTTTTGGAAACTATAGAGACTCTGTTCCACAGGACATTGAAATCAAGATTAATGGTGTGAGTCTGAAAAGAGCTACCAGTAGTAAATATCTAGGAATAACTTACGACTATAACATAAAATGGGATGTTCACGTGGCTAACACAGTAAAAAAAACCAAATACTTAGTATATAGTTTTATAGACTTAAGGAAGTACTAACAAGAAAGCAGTTATTACAAATTTATCATGGTCTTTTACATAGTGTCGCTGTGTATGCAGTCATAGGCTGGGAAGGTCTCTACAGTTCTTCGTTAGACCCGTTGGATCGGCTTCAGAAGCATATTCATAAAATTATTGGAATAAAGGAACAAGATGCAGATAGACCACTGAGTATCAAACAAGCTTTTGTGGAGAATTCAATAGTGTATCAATATAGTGAATTAAAAAATGAATATACGCAAAATCAAATGAACACTCGTAATAAAAGTACTATTTTGCCCCGACACCAACTGGCTATTGGACAAAGGAGCTATGTGTATTATGAAGTAAAATATTTTAATGAATTACCTAATGAACTAAAAAATCTCAATGTTGACAAAAAAGTACTTAAAAAAAAGTTAAAGAAAACATTATGTGTTACAATCTAATAAATAAAATGTAAAAATTGGCGAGGTGCAACTCACAACCAATATTAAGTAGTTGTAAGTTATAGTAGTAGTTGTAGTTGTAAGTTATGTTAGGGCCAACCTATGTACGGGCAGTATTTGCCCCCTATAGGTCCTTTACTATAAAAATATTTTTTATGTAAACTTAATTTTCGACAATAAATATTATTATTATTATTATTATTATTATTATTATTCCATTTGAAAAAATAAAGTTGGTTACTGTCCTGGCACAACGGCACACCCTGTATACATAGGACATACTATAAATAAAATATAAAATTATAACAAAACTTATAAATAAACCCATTACTTGGCAAATGTGGCTGCACACTTTACCTTAGCAATTCAAAATTTTAATCTTAAAGCATGAAACCGTCACAAGTTAAAAGGGCCCTTGTTTAACATTTAACGCGGACGCGTACCGTTGCGCGCGTTCCATGCGTACGTTCCATGCGACGATGGGCGAATGGCCTCGGCGTTCTTGCCCGGCATATACAAGAAGAGCTTTCCGCTGGCAATGCGGCGTCGCCTGCTTGGATTCTCCCCTTTAATACCATTGTTTACGACCCAGTCGTCGTCAAGTTGCGAACGGCTTTCTCCTCGAAGAATGTCAACGGGGATAACGATTTCGCGCAAACAAAACCCTTTAAAAAGTCGTTTGCCTTCGTTTATGAATTTCGGGGGGGTGGCGGGCGGGGGACGAGAGACAGTTTCCAGTAAACAATCTGCAAACGGCAGATAATTCCGACTTAAAAACGTTCTTTTCTTTAATTAAACGCTAGGAGACATCTCGATGGTACGGCGGGGGTGGGGGGGTCGAGGTGGCGCACCGACCGTTTTTTTTTCCATTGAACAACTGCCGCGTTTCGAAAAATTAACGAGGAAAAATCTACGGCATGCGGATCGACCTTCGGGTATATTTAGTCTTTTGTTTATGCACGCGTTTGCTGAACCTAATTAATTATATATCTGAGCGAACATTTTTCCTTTTAACGAATGTTTCCGAAACCAGTGGCGTCGGACGCACACAGTTATATAGGGTTATTGGTAATTTTTCTTTTTTGTCAAAAACATCAGTCTTAAAGGGTAGTTTTCAAAAAACCTACACAACGGGCTTATGTTTTTAATGGACAAAATGTCGGAAACGTTATGTCATGTGAAAATTTTAAATAAAATGTATAATTTTTTTTCTATGAAGTATCACATTTTAAGCGTTTAATTTTTACCAGTACAAATAAAACTTGTATAGTTGCAGTATCGCACAAATAAAAAAAAAATTAAACGTAATTTTGAAGTACTTTTGGTACCGCGTATACAGAGATAGAGTAGAATTTTTTTAAGTATACAGG